CTCAGCGGGGAAAAGGGCAGGAAAAGACGCGCACGGCTCGTGGCGAGTGGCAGACGCGCCCTGCGTGCTAGCTTCCCGGGGCGCGTGAGCCAAGCCAGGTAAGCGGACGGGAGGACTGCGCGGTCCTCCTGGGGGGACACACGTGGTCACCGACACTTGGGAACGGACCCTGGTGAAGGGTCGCATTCCCCGACCACTTAGTGCACGTGCTGTCAGTGTCGTCCCCATAAGCACATACTCATAACCGATCGGTGCTGGGCTGGGAGGGCCAGGTGTCCACCCCCAAACCCTGGCTCGTTTGCTCTCCCTAAACCTTGGGCTGGTGCCGTTCCAGGGCCAACCCAGTCCCTCCGAACAGGATTAGTCCAATAGGGCCTCAGGCCGCGAGCGACTCCCCAGATATCGACTCCCAGATAGCGTCAGTTCTGACTCCCCCCTCGGAAGTCCAGCCTCCGTTCGCAGGCATTTCGTCCTGCCTGGTGGTTTGATATCCTGATTAATCGCAAACGTTTAAAAGTAGGAGCTTGTGCGTGAGTGTCTGGATTATTTTGAGGAACGGGAAGAGCTGGCGAGGCTTGCTGCCTGGCAGCACTTGGCTGCCCTCTGTGGGCCAGTGTTGGGAAGCCGTCTCCACTTGGCACAGCCCCTCCGTTCCCCCATCCTCCGCCTGCACCCCGCGTTCAGCGCCAGCCAGGCTCCTGGAAGGCATTTGAGTTGCGGACCTGCTCTAAATACTTAGGTCGGTGACTTTCGGCCTTTTTCATCTCCTGGCACATATAAGCTCATTACTAGAAGACTTAGGCACAACAAAACAATACATATTTTGCCCATCTGACCAAAAAATAGGTATAATTTTGATTCATTCACACCAGACGGCTATTTTGTGTTGGCTGTTGTCATTTTTTAAATTTGACAATCCAAGGAAAAGAGGTCAGGTATTGATGCTTTAAACATTCTTGAGGTGGACCAGTTGAAAAGCGCTGACTTTGGTGAATATAAGACTATTTAAACCATGTTTGCAGAAAAAGAGCAGAGTCCCAAACAACTACGTGTGTAATTTGTGTTTAAAACTGCTGTTTCTGTCGTGGCGCTGCAGGGGAAGAAGTTGGTGATTCGCCGGACCCTGGTCCTGAAGACGAGGTCCGAGGTCCTGCGACCCCTGGCCCTTGCTGCCTCACCCCTGCCTGCCTTTTCCCGCTATCTTCTGCCGGGATTTCGCACGCAGGCCTGGGCGAAGGTGTACCTTCTGGCAGCTATGGGAACTATGGCTATGCTAATAGTGGATATAGTGCCTGTGAAGAAGAAAATGATTTCGCACGCGGCCTGGGCGAAGGTGTACCTTCTGGCAGCTATGGGAACTATGGCTATGCTAATAGTGGATATAGTGCCTGTGAAGAAGAAAATGACAGACACACCGAAAGCCTGAGGCGCGAAGTAAAGGCTGTGAAAGATCTTTCCATTGAGATAGGCCATGAAGTTAAAAGTCAAAATAAATTATTAGCTGAAATGGAGTCACAATTTGATTCCACAACTGGATTTCTAGGTAGAACTATGGGAAAACTGAAGATATTATCCAAAGGGAGCCAAACAAAGCTGATGTGCTATATGATGCTGTTTTCATTGTTTGTCTTTTTTGTCATATATTGGATTATTAAACTGAGGTGATGCAAGTAAGTGTGAGTTTGCAATTTGTTCCAACTTATGTGGCTTGGGGTACCATTTTGGTAAAAAAAATCAGCACCAAAACATTCCTCATTTTCAAATTCGGCTTTTTCCATCGACAGTTACAGAATTTTACCTGTTTTATAAATCACATTACATAATACAGTGCTCTTTGAATGCTGTTTCTTAATGACTCATTTTGCCCGTTTTTAGGGGTATTGAGATAGCCAAAAGTCAGTCCAGCCCTAACCATTTCATTGTTTTTCTATTGTTTGCTATCAGATTAAGTAGCAGTATAGTGTTCTGTTATCATAAACGTAGGTTATGTTCCATGTAAAGAAAATTAGTGGGAGAATAATAGAGTGGAGAGCCTGGTCCTGAGCTCTTGCAGTGAACAGGTTTGTGGTGGAATGGTAAGCGTATTTTCCTGAATGACATCAACCCTAACGATGTACTCCTGTTTCCTCCTTGATTTGGTTACATTGTAGGCAGATTTCTTTTTACCTACGATGTTTTTCTAATAATTTTTGATTATATGACTCCTCTTCCCCCTTTGCCCAAGGACCTCATTCTTTAATAAATCTTATTATTTTGACATATTTCTAGTAGGTGCAAAACAAATGTGAACCAGTATAATTGTTATTTTATATTAACTTTATGCATACCATTGACTTGGCTTAAAATAGCTTTATGATTTTAGCTACTTAGGCCATTTGGTTATCATTTGTGACAGAATAATGTGAAGCTAAAGTAATTGCTGAGCTCTGACTGGAAATAACATGTTCAAGAAAATTGTCTCTGCATTATGTGCTCAAAATAGATCATTGAAAGCACTTAGCAACATTGAACTTAGGGGTAAGAGTATTGTCTTAATACAGTATATTTGTTTATAGAAAGCAAAACAAAGGTAGAATGTTGAGTAGAAATATTAAAATGTTCTTTAATACTCTGTATTGCTATTTTGGAATTTACTCATTTATGAGCGCTAAAAATAAATTTTTAATGAAATAAGTTGAAAAAAAATAAAACTGCTCTTTCTCATTCCTACTTTTTCTTTTCAAGGTGGTTTTCTTTTGGAACAAGTCTTTTCAACCCAGGCTTGGTAACGATGAATCATCACATATGTATAGAAAGAGATTTGGGAGTTGATATTCTTTTATTACAATGAAATCCTTAATGTTTTTATTTTGTTTTTGTTTTGTTTTTTAAGGAAAAAGACCTGAATCTGTTCACATAGATGTTTTATGCTATGACAATCATTATTGAAATAGAGTGTGGTAAGTATAATTTGTGCACTTCTGCCTACAGAAAATTATGCTTCATTAGCCTCCATAACTCTTGGCTAGACTTCATAAAGGCAAGACTGTGTTTGCCTGTTAATTAGGCTTATCCCAACTAAAATGCTAGCTTCTTAGACTTTTATTTTGTTCAGAGTTGCCAAGCACAGTGCCTGCTTAAAGGTGACTAAATGTATGAAAGAACTTTATTATTTTTTTAAATTTTTTTTATTGATTTCAGAGAGGAAGGGAGAGAGAGAGAGACAGACATCAATGGTGAGAGAGAATCACTGACTGGCTGCCTTCTGCATACCCCCCACCCCCCTACTGGGGATCGAGCCTGTAACCCAGACAAGGGTTGACCTGAATCGAACCAGGGACCCTTCAGTCCACAGGCTGACACTCTTTCTCTGACCCAAACCAGCTAGGCTTTTTTTTTTTTTTTAAATTACACTTTATAATTGATTTTTAGAGAGAGTGGAAGAGAGAGGGAAAGACAGAAAGAAATATCAATGTGATAGAAACACATGGATTGGTTGCCTCCTGCATGAGCCCCGACCAGGGCCTAGGCCAGGGGGGAGCCTGCAACCAAGGTACGTGCCCTTGACCGGAATTGAACCCAGGATCCTTCGGTCTGCAGGCCGATGCTCTGTCCACTGAGCCAAACTGGCTAGGTTATATATGAAAAAACTTTAAAGGTATACCTTATTTTATGTAACAGGCATTGTTCCTGAAGATTTCTCTCAAAATCAAATGCTTGTACATTTGTCATTTGAAATTACTAAAAGGATTCCGTTGTAAAAAGGCATGCTTTTAAAAGATTGGATTTTCCTAAATTGATGTACCAATGCTTTCATCTAAAATGAACTTGTACTGCCCATTAGGTTAGGGTGTTGCCCGATATGCCAAGGTTGCAGGTTCTATCCCTAGTCAGAGCATATAAGAATCAACCAATGAATGCATAAATAAGTGGAACAACAAATCAGTGTTTCTCTCTTGCTCTCTCTCCCTTCCTCTCTCTCTCTAAAAATCAATACATTAAAAAAATAAAATGAACTTGTACTTGTGGATCATCTGCTACAGAGCTTACAGAGCCTACACTGGTAATATTTTATTATATAACTAGAGGCCTGGTGCACAAAAATTTGTGCACTGGGAGGGGGGGTCCCTCAGCCCGGCCTGTGCCCTCTTGTAGTCTGGGACCCCTTGGGGGATGACCACCTGCTGGCTTAGGCCCGCTCCCCGGGAGGATTGGGCCTAAGCTGGCAGTCAGACATCCCTCTGGCAGCCCGGGAGCCCTCGGGGGATGTCCACTTGCGAGAGGCTCCTGCCACCACTGCTGTGCTGGCAGCCGTCAGCCTGGCTTGTGGCTGAGCAGAGCTCCCCCATGTGGGAGCACCGCACTGTCCAGGGGGCAGCTCCTGCATTGAGCGTCTGCCCCCTGGTGGTCAGTGTGTGTCATAGTGACCAGTCATTCCCAGTCGTTCTGCTGCTG